TGGTGGCATCTCCATCCTTGGAGGTTTTTAAGACCCAGGTAGACAAAGCCTTGGGTGGGATGATGTAGTTGGGGCTGGTCCTGCTTTGAGCAGGGGTTGGACTAGAGGTGACCTCCTGAGGTCCCTTCCAACCCTCGTTTTCTATGATTTGCCTGATTTCCTCCTGAATTCCTTGGAGTCAGCATTTGGTACACTAGTCTCCTTGCTATTGTCCTTTTCTCCTACATTAGCATATCTCCTCAGACTTCAAACGCTGCATATATTCCCGCACACCGTACTCTGATTTTTGTGTGATATCTTTTATTGAACCAGCACTACAGTTGGAACAGACGTTGGACAAACTTCCGGTCATTGTGCCCTCCTTCTGGTCTGAGGATGTCCAACAGCCCCCTGACTGTGCAATTGGCCCAGTAAAGGCAGAAACCTCGTGTCTTGTCCATTTGCTGGACCAACATGGTACAGCGGCAGCCCAGCAGCAAGTTCATGTTCAGTCAAGGATACTCACTGTCTTTCACTCTCCGTGTGCACTTGGAATTCAAGGCACAAGACTGAAGCTGTCCGGACTAGGCTAAGGGAGGCTCATGCCTGGCAGCCTGATTAACTGGGTCAACTGAGCCCAGTGAACCAACCGGTGCCAGCTTGGCTTAGCCTGCAGGGGCAAGACTAATTGAGGCTTCAGACCCGTAGCCGGAGTAACTGAAGCTAACAAACTAACCAGCTCCTGCTGAGCCCTAGCCCCTTCCCTCTGGCTGGTTCCAGGTCTGCTCTTAAGGAATCCCTCCAGCACCTAAGCCTTGCTGCAAAACTTACTGGTCTCTGGTCTGTGTGCAGCTCCTGTCCCAGTAACTCCTCTGACTCCCTGATTCCTGATTAATCTCCGTGTTGAACATCAGTTTGACCTTAACTTGCTTCTGACCTCTGATCCTCCGGTTCAGTGTCAGACTCTGGGCTTCAGCTCCCATTCCTCTGCTGCTCCCATCCTGTAGTTCATCCCTGCAACTCTCCAGTTCTCATTTCTGGTGCCACACACTAGGCCTGCCACCCTTGTGAACCATGACAGAAGCTTAATCTCCTGGAACATCTGTGAGGATGATTTTGGACCTGGATGATCTGAGTTCAGCAGCCAGTCGGTTCAAACCTGCAGCATCCAACACGGGATTGAGAAGATGCATGTAGAGAAGCTGGCACTGAGTAAAGGTCTAGCATCAACATTGCCACTGACCCCCACCATAGTCCCAGAGGCGTTGGCTCAGAAGACCACAGCAGGGGCTCAAGAAAGCGCTTGGTGTCCCCTCTCTTCCACCCTCTCCAGGAAACCAAACTTTGAAGCCCCCCCACCAAAGCCTGGGGAATGAAGCAGACAGCAATGAAGTCAAGCTCAGCGCTGTGGCAATAGGCAGAGAGAGTTTTTGAGCCATCTGTGGTACATAAGCAGCCAGCACAGGCATGGACTTCATCCCATTCCTGCGTAGTGCCTGTGTATGGCACCTCCCTTCCTTCCGTGTTTGGCACTCTGCTGGTGACCAGCAGAGTACTCTGTTATTTAAGATCCATGAGCAGTGACACCAACAGACCCAAGGAGCTCTTCAAAGCCCAGCTTCCAAGCCACCAGTATAGACACTGGGCCAGCCCACACACATGCATACTTGATACCAGCATACCCCCATATCCATCTTCCTTGGCCCGGAAGAACTGGAGACCTCCACTGAGAAGACAGAATCGATCCCTTCTCCAACACGATCCCCAGCTTTTGACCACAGGCACTGGAGTGTAGAGGAGTGAACTGAGAAGGGCAGCCACATCACACTGCCTCACACCATGTTTCCTCCCCTGGAAAAAAAAAAATCCTTTTCTCTTCATTTTAAGATGAAAGCAATGCCCCCAGCAGTGGTAGTGACATCTGATGATTTCAAGGCATTCCAGTGTAGATGACTAACCTTGGAGATTTGTGACTTTAGATCACTGCCAAAATACCCAGCAAGCTAGATTCATCTTCTCTGTAGCTGGAGCCCTGCCATGGGCATGCTTGTGCAGCACTATTGCTGCCAGACAGAGGTGGCCCAAGCAGGTTATGAACGTGGTCGTGTGGCACTATCTCTTGGAAGCTAGTGCATCCAGAGCTAGCTTGGGTAACTCTGCAGGCCTTTCACTAGATGAACGTACACCATCACGCCAGAGCACCGCTGGACATCAGTGGTTTGCTTCAGAAACATACCAGTATCTGAGTTCTCTGTTTGGCCAGGGGATAACCCATGAGCACTTGCTAAATGGTATGGCAGCCAAAGTAGATCCCCAAGTGGTATTGCAGTTTCTGTCGGCATGGGAAAATACTGCTCATCTGTCACTTGCCATGGGATTCAGAGTGATAAGTAGTAAAAAATAAAATAAAATAAAAAGGACAGTTACTCGCCCCACACGTTTATCTGCGATCCCATAAGTCGCCCTTCACCCTCCATGCCTGCTTTTCGGAGACCTTGACTATCACGGGCTTCCACGTGGAAGCATCGGAAAAAGGCTCAGCCTTTTATACCCTCTTTACGAGGTACAGTTGGGCACAGGATGAATGTGTGGCTTAGAGACATGATTGGATAGTCACCAATAGCTCTTCCATTTATGGTTACTCATGCAACTTTTATTCTGCCCCATTATGCATATGCATGATGATAATTTCCTTTAATTACACGATGACACGCAATATTATTTTTACAGGCCCCCTGCCTCATTAATTACACAAGGAGGCCGAAATAATTTTGGTGAAGCAGCCATAAATCTGTCTCTCCCTAACTTTCAAGCGTTTGACATTTGCAGTCTAAACAGCACACTTCACTTTTGAAACTGGAGGATCCAAGAGCCATTATTCATTGGGGGGAAATGTAAGAAACAATTAAGCTCCTTGCTGGCACCAAGAAGCTAAAACGGGAACAACCTCCATGTTTTAGCCATGACAAAACCATGTGGGGGCTATTGTTTTTGTTGGGGCATGTGTTGTAAAAGAAGCAGCCAGAAAACACCACAGTAGCAGAAACAGAGGAGGAACAAGAAGCTTGAAGAAGTACTGGGAGCCTTGAGGAAAGTCTAGAGGGATCCTTTTTGCTGAAGGATGTTGGGAAGGCTGAGCAGACACACGCTCCTGGGCAGCCGGGCTTGTTACGTGCTTTGGAAACGAACAGGATTGACTCAAAGTAATAGCTGATTCCATCACCACTTTCTCCTCCTAACTGAAACAACCTGCAGCGTACCAAATATTGACTTATAGCTCATGGCAAAAAGGGATAGCCGTATAAATGTGTTAACATGCACCAAGAAGTCCTGATCTGTTTATCTTAACAGTTGTGTTTAACTGGGCCTGAATGAGCTGGAGTCCTTTCTCTTGTACAAAAACTAATTACACCTATTTTATGACTTTATAATTTAATCGTCTTCAGGAGCTCCACTCTGCATGATGGCATTCATGTGCTAAACCAGGGAAAGTGAAAACAAGGGTTAAAGTAAAAGGGTTAACTAATACAGGTTCACCTGAAAATAGGCCTGTGTTTGATCTGTCTGAGCCATTGTCTTGAGCACGAACATCTCAAAGACGAACAAAAACTGCCTTTGCCCATCTCTCCAATTGCTGCTAGGATGTTGAAATTAGTTTTGGGGTTTTTTGTTTTTTTCATTTGCACTGTGTTGTCATGAAACCAGAGGGCATATTAGAATATTAAATGATCTTTTAATTATGGGACTGCAGTGAAACAGCAGCCCTGAAGTCATGCAAGTGAAAAGTATTTTGATGAAGTCTGTTTGGAGGAGGCTGGTCGAATGGAAGCTGTGGCTGATATTAAATTAGCATTTGATACGTGGTACCAAACGTGCCACGGCTGCCATTGAAGCCAGTGGGCAGAGCAGGTTCTTGAGCAGCTCGCGGTCGGGTTCCAGGTGACGCCGGCAGCGCAGGAACAACAGCTGGAAGCTGTGGTTGGCCTGTGGTGAGCACGGCTTCAAGGCTGAGGCTTCTCTGGACAAGCAGAGGGGGGACCCGGTGTGTAGCAGGTCGGTCAGCAGAGAGATGACATTCACACCGGGACTCCTTGTTGTTGTTTGTCTTGCAGTACCGTATAACGGCCTTAACCAGGATCAGAGCCCCCGTGCGCATGTGCTGTACCTAGCACATCACAGATCCTCCTCCAAAGAGTACACCATGCACAGGACAGACAAGTGAAAGGAAACAACGGTCCATAGGAGTAAGGTAGCTTGCCTAAGGCAACAAAGAAGGGAAATGGGTGAGCCAGACAGAGGTTGAGTCCAGATAATTTGACTCCCAGTCTGCCCTGCCAGTCAAGTGCTCTGTGTCTCCCTTTTCACTGGATCCGGGAAGAGCTGGGTGAGGCTTGTTATTAGCTACGCTATTAAGATAAACAGATCAAGACTTCTTGGTGCATGTTAACACACTTATGGTTATCCCTTTTTTGCCATGAGCCAGAAGTCAAGCTGTGACCCTTATTCATTAATTCATGGGTATAGCAAACCTGAAACCATCAAACTTTTTGCTGAATAAATTGTAGTGGGAAGAAGAATTCGTAGCCAGCCAGACATTAGGGATAATGAAGATGGGTCTCATCCCTCCTGGGTGAATACCCAGCTGCAGTTCTGCTCCGCTAACCCTAGGCAGCAGCATTTGACTCGGCTCGGACTAATGCAGGCCAGCTGAAGCCTGATGCTCTTTTCCTTCCCACCTAACTGGGATAAGTTGTCACACGTTTTGACATGCATGACAGTCTGGACTCGAGCCAGTCTAGGCTGCGGAGCTGCTCAGGTTTTCTGTTACCACTGGGACTCCTGTTCTCCTAGCTTATGTTGAGCTCGGCATTTGATGAAGTCGGCCACTGCTGATGAAAGCTTATGCATCTCTGATTGAGTTTGTCTCTAAAGGTGCAGATCTACCTCACCGTCTGCCTGACTTCAGACTAACATGGCTCACTACCTGTCTCCTACCTTATGCCCTTCCTTTTGTATTTCAGATTGCCTACGCTGCAGTGGACTGTGCCAAAGAACAGAACCATGACCTGTGCAAGCAGGAAGGTGTCGATGGCTACCCCACCTTTAACTACTACAACTATGGGAAGTTTGTAGAAAAGTACAACGGGGAGAGAGGGGTAAGTACAGGTGGAGGATGTGGAAAGAAGCCCTGTGCAAACAACTGCTTCTTGTTCCATTTTTGTTCTGAAGGAAGGGTGCGGGAGAATGGCTGGCTGCTGCAGTATACCGTTTAGAATTGATTTGTTCTAGTTTTGGTAGATTCCACCCAAAAGAAATGTGGATTTTGGTGCTGTTTCATGTTCGTTTGTTTTGTAAGAAGTTCGCAGGTGAATGTAGGACAGATGAAAATGTTGATTTTTACTGGCTGCAATGGGCCGTGGAGGTGGCAGGGGATATAGAAGTTACTCCGCTCGGGTATGACAGCGCATCTGAATCCAGACCCCTCCCCGTACTCCGCGTGCTCACAGATTCTGCCGGATCACAATAGAGGGTTGGTTGCATGGAGTAGACGAAGCTGCCCCTTAGACCGGGAGGAGATAACCAAATAACTTGTTTTCGCTGTATCAGACTGCAACCCAAGCTTTAGAAAGGAAAGAGTTATTGTGCCACCTACCCGATGGCCTTCATCAGGCCTTCCATTTTCCTGTGGTGTTACGTACAGTTGACCATGCACCCTGAAGGTATAAGAGAGTGAACTGCTTTCTTTTTGGTGTGCATCATTTAAGTCCTCATATCCTACAGTCTTGGCAGCAAAGCACTGTCTGGAAGAGAGTAATGGAAAAGCTAGGTGTTCCCAACGATGATTTGTGGGAACATACCTAGCCTGGAGGCCAGCTGCTGCTAGTATAATTCATAAAAGTGTAGCAAGTGTAAAGGGGTGCCAAGTCCTTCCTCAGCACCTTTTCCTTCCTCAGCAGTGAAGTGGAAGTGTTCATTGATAGCAGTGGGAGTTTTGTCTTCAGGATTAAGCCACAGTAATTGCGAGTTCATTGACCTATGCATTGGCATGGATACCGCTCTGTTTGTAGTCTAGTAGAGACTGGTGCAGCAGCCAGCGAATAAGCAAGGTCTTGGCCATGAAGTGATCTGGGATTCGAATACACGCCGGTCAAGTGGGATTTATGAAAGGACGGCGCTCTTGTGGCTGAGGAAGATGTTGGCAAGGCAGACGCGTGCTCAGATGACGGGAGCTGGGAGATGCATTGTCCATAACAGCTGACTTGTTTTTAAATAGCAGTAGAATTGCTCTACTGTGTGTCCTATCTCTGTACTGCTGACAGCTATTGGAGAGTCTCCTTTAGTCAGAGGAGAATGACCTACTTTTGGGACGGGGAGTCACGGTTCCCGTTCCTGGTGTTCTTGTGAAATTTTGAGGAGGGAAGAGTCGCAGGAGTACGGTGGAAACCATGACGTTCCTAGGCTTGTCCACGAGCTCGTGGGTTTTGTAATATGGGAACAAAGGGCTTTATTTTTAAAGGAGTGAAAACAGCATGAAAGGTGATGCTATTATGGAGGTAACGACTGAAACAGCTGAGGTATCTTGGCCTGGGGCCCGCTACCTTGCAAAAGAAGACGGAGAGAGCAGGGCATGGGGAGGGGAACTAACTGGTGCATGCCTGTTGGCAAGCCATTTAACGCACTGAGTTTTGAATCTCTCGAGCTGACACCAAGTCAAAAATTGTCACTTTTTTTCTTACCTTGGAAACATGGCCGCTTTCAAAAATGGCATTTTACTGAAAGACACGCTGTGGCTTGGTTTGTTTTTTCTCGTCCCACCCAAAGTTTCCCTTTTTTTTGAGCAAACTTTTAATAAGTAAGGTTTCACCTTCCATTTTTGCTCCTTTGTTTTTTGCTCTGCTTTTCCTCACTCCCCACACGAGAGTATCTGTCATGGTTAGTCGGAAAAACAAGGATGGGCCTTTTTTTTTTTTTTCAAACCCAGGTGCTTCAACTTGTGCGTATTACTAAAACTTGAACGGCGAGCTGACTTCCATGCCATTGCAGAAGTGCCTGGCGCTTCTCTCTCTCCTTGAACTTGCTGAGCACTCCATGAGTGAAAATCAAGTCACCTGGGGTGCCTAATACAAATTGAGAACGAGGCCTCTGAGGATGACCAGTCTGACCACACTTCCACATTTCTTTAGCGATGTCAGTCTGAAGCCTCTGTTTGTAAATGAGTTCCCTTTGTTCAGTCGCTACCGAAAATCCCCGGTCCTGTACCGGACTTTGGGCAGTTGGGTTCTGCGTGGCTCTGTAAGGGCAGCCCCAGTCCTGCACCCGCAGAACCACAGAGCCGGGCTGAGGCCAGACAAGATCGTAGGATAAAGAAATATCTGTTCCTGTGTGGCAGTTGCTTGTCTAGCTGGTCTGGAAGCAAAGCATGCACCTTATTCACATGGCACTTCTGTGTGTTTAAGAGTTATTAATTGGACAACTGGAAACGCTTGTGGAACCCTCCTTCTCATCCTCTCCGTTTTTTGGTGTCTTTTTACTCCATCCCCAACCTGTTTCTCCTGAGACTTGATGAATTGAGAGTCTCTCCTTTCATGTGCTCCCACCCAGGTATCACTCCCTCCACCACTTCGGCCACTGCCACTGCTGGGGTCTCTGGGCTCCCACTCCCTCCTGGCTTCTGCTTCCTGCCTCCACCCCAGGGCTGCAGTCGGGCAGGGGGGGCTGCAGGGTCCAGGAAACCTGTGGCCCCGGGGACCCGTGCAGCGTCACAGGCTCGGAGGGGAAATCCAGCAGCATGGTGGGGAGCCCACGCAGCGTGTGACCGCAGCTGCTCGCAAGCTGCACAGCCCCGTCCTAGTTCATATTCAGCGTGCTTCCCTCTGCCTTTGGGCGCGGAAGCTGGCAAAGTCCCTGTGAAACAACACTGTTTTGGTTTCTTATTTTAAAACTCTGATCAATATTTTCCTTTCTTTAAATGCAGGAGGCCGGATTTGCCACTTTCATGCGAACCCTTAGAGAGAGAGACCATGAAAGGGTAGGGAAGAAGAAGGATGAACTGTAATTTCTGCCTCAAAAGAAGCTTTCCACTGCACTGTGAATGGTCCCAGGTCCATTGTTACTGCGCCTGAGATGTCACGAATTCTAAAGACAGAGACTTTTTTTTTTTTTTTTTTTTTTTTTTTTTTTTATAAATAGCCATGGTCATTTTGTACAATTTTGAAATAAAGTGAAACCACTTGATTTTTAAAGAAAATTCAATTAGATTGTTGCCACATTCTGTTAAACAAAAAAACAGCATTCTCTCCTGTTGTGAGACTATGCCCATCAACACTCCTATGCAATATTTTTGTAGTCGGTAGTGTGTCCGTAGAAGACCTCATTTGACAAGGTAAATTTTCTTTTCTTTTCTTTTCTTTTTTTTTTTTTTTAAGTGTTTTACAGTACACGTAATAACTTTTTTTTAAAACAGTGGAGGAAAATGGGACTTTTAAGAAACAAAAAAAGCCTGTTCAAATGCAGTTTTACATTCTTGCAAAATAGTTACATGCTCTTCAGAGAGATTTGGGGGAACGATTTTAAGGCGCTCAGGGATAACAGGGTAACGGGGTTAATGAAGACACTAGCATTGACCAATCCAGATCTCGTTGATTTTAATTTTTAATCCACTGTACTGGAAGTGTTTACATATCTTTGCAGAATGTACTAAGTTGTTTTAAATAAAATGTCGAAGATCAGCACAGTAGGGATTAAATGTAAAATAAATCTCACGTTTTAGCAGTTACGTTGTCAAGTGCCCCTGTAAATTATGGGGACGAAATAATATATAGGCTGTTGAATTTTTTTTTTTTTCAATTTATGATCAGGCCACATGAAATGCATATTGCAAGGTGTTATATTTAACATTGTACATTTGACAGAGGCACAGTATTTTTGATATACAGAAATGACACACACCAGTATTTGTTTACATCCCAAAAGCTTGTCCATATTGTATGTTACATATATATAAAAATTAAAAGAAAACCAAAACCTGAGTTATGGAATGTTAACAATATTTCTACAGCAAGTAATCATGTTAAAGGCATACTGTGAACATGTTACTGGAAATTGCCCTCTGGATACTACAAAGTTGTATCGATCTGAAGGTGCTTCTTATGTCTTCATAGTCGGGGTGGGGGTGTGTGATTTCATTTTGATGGGAAAAAAATAAAAAATTGGAAACGATTTTTTTTTTGTTCATCATCTTCGTACCTACCAGGTTGCCTGAATTAGCGTTCACAACTGCTAGCAGTCCGGAGACCCAGGCTGCTGCAGGATCCGTGCCTCGGGGTTATTTCCTGGCTGTCCATTGAGGGGTAAAGCCCGCTGTTCATTTGTAACAGGTTCTCCAGCATTTTAATCTACCCTGTACTGTGTTAAGGTTTGTATGCTTTGGGCTCTTTCTAATGGTCCCAAGCAGCAGTTGAATGCAGCACCCTTGTATAAGGAAAGAGAAACATCCCATGAATCTGAGCCCTCCGCTAAAAGGCTGGTAGAGTCTCATTTTCTTTGCCTGTCTGGCCCGTGCAAAGGGAACAACTGTGCGGCTGGGGCGCCGAGGGGATTTCTCACTCCCTTATCTATTCTGGATGCACTTCCCTTGTTCATCATCCTTTCCCTTGCCCAATTAATGGGACTGCACATTTGGCACTCATTAAGATGCTGAACCCATTAGTGAGCAAGAGCGGGTAGGCTGATTCGTCTTGTGTGATGGCCAGCTTGTTAGCCAGGACCATACATCTAAGCAATGATGGTGACGTGCCAACTATTTCCTCTTATTAGGCACCTGTTGAATCTCTCCACTCCGAAAGGAGTCGACTGTCCAGCAGTACGTTGATTTTCTATTGTGGAACTGGCCTAATAGTTTGTTATGACCTCCTGCTCACCCATCCGCAACTTTTTTTTCGGTGGCATAGCTATTGTTTAGCATTGCGGTCCATGCCTCTCTATCATGTGGTGAGCATGGGTCAGATCTTTTACGCTGTCCTCGCATTCAGTAGCGTGTATTCAGCCCCGAATGTGGAAAGGAAAGCTCATGTAGTCTTCAGATTCTAAGTGGGAAGATCCTTGCTTTCCAATGGAGCATGAAGCAATGAGTATGATTAGTCCAGAACTATAGACATCTTGCTGGAATTTTTCTGGTCTCCGAGTCAGTTGTTGGCACCGAAGAAAGGAAATAGAGCTTCCATGGACATCTGAGCAATAGGCTGTGCCCATATTCGCATTAATTGCTGAGAAATGCAGACTTCTCTTTTAATAAGATCACAGTTTGCCAATGATGACATCATCCTTGGGATCACTCTGAATTCTAGGCTTTAGTAAATGTTTAGGATAAGACAATTGCTCGCTGTGCTGTAGAGCAGTAATTCTTTACAGCTGGTTACACTACAATAACATTAAAATTAAGGAGCCTAGATTTGCCTATGGTGTTTTGTCATGTTGCTTCTTGGACTTAGAGGGGTTTTTTCCGTGGCTAATCATGTGTTAATGTACAGATATAAAATATTTGAGAATAACTGACCTCCTGGTACAGGGTCATGACTCATCTGGTTTATAGTCAGAATGTCTTCGAGGATAATTTTGAACAAGATGAACAATTAAATCTAATGACTAACAGAAGCGTTAGCCACTATGAACTAGAGTCTGTCTAACTTTGCTTCCTACTTTAATTGCAGAAACAAATGCCTGATTCTGATTTACTGTGGTATAAATCCAGAATAACTTTACCAAAGTCAATCAAGGTATTCTGGATGTACATTGTATAAGTGAAATTAGATTGTGTCCCATTAAATATCTTTTTTTCTGTTTATAAACTTGGAACAGGAAGGGGGGTTTTTTTCTTCTTTTTAAAAAATAAAATCTCTAATTTTATATTAAAATACTTGAATTCCAATATTTTAAAAAAGAAGTCCAATTTTACATATTAATAATACCCAGCCATTTATGGAAGATTCATAGTCCAGCTATGGATATCCAAGTGTGACTTACAACTTTTAAGTCATCTTTTAATGATGGTATTATCTAATCCAGTGGCCCGCAAAAGTGTTAGACTCAAGGCACCCCGTTAGGCTTGGAGCGCCTCTCAGAAAGGCCAGCTCTTACTTGTTTTTTTTTTTTCAACTACAGAAGAAAAACAGAAGAAATCTCCTGTTTGCAAAGCATTCAACAGACCACAACAGGTCAGCATGTCTTTTAACTATGAATTCTTATTTGAAATCTCCGGGTTTATCTTATGAATCCTGTTTGCACACCCAGCACTGCTGCCATCGTGTAGAACCCTTGAAAGGCTTTCAAGACGCCAGTTGAGAATCACTGATATAATTGTATCTGGTATCCAAGTGTACATCCATAAAAAATGAACTACTGCTAGCAAATATTCTGCAGCAAATCAGAGGTGGTATTGCTTTTGTGACCCCCTGGGTCTAACTTTTCAAGCTCTTAATAGGCAAATGACCCAAAGGCTGTTGATCTCATCTATGTAAGTATATTCCCCTGGAGATCAATTACTACTGGAGTTAATAAAGTGTGAAATCCTTCTTTGCGCGGGGTTGCCAGCACAAAGACTCTGCATCACTTGCATCCCACTTAAGCCAGATTTGAGGATTTAAGTGGCACACTGGTCTGGCCCCAGCCCACTTCAGAAACGTGATATGTCCAAGACACAAGGACGAGCTGTTTAGACTGGACTAGAGCTGAGCCTGAAAAAGATTTTAATGAAATAAACAGCTCTTAGGAGATTCTACGCCAACACGGCCACTAGCCATGGGTAGAGCCTTTGTCTGTAATGTGAAAAACTCCAGATCTGGTCCCTGGCATAAGCACGCATCACAGGAACTTGAGCCTGTTCTTCCACATCCCGGGGAAGTGCCAAAGGCATTAGTCTGTAGAGGGTCTCTGGTCCATTTTATACATAATGGAACGGCTTCAGAAGACAAGACTGATGGAGGCCCAGGAGTGGACAGTAGCATAGCCAATAGCCTGGTCATTAGGCACTACTCTGAATCAGGCAGAACGGGGCCCTTGAACAGGGGACTCTTACATTGCTTTCCCCTCTCCCTGTGAAATCCCTTCCTTGATCTGAGAAACTTGGCAAAAATGGTATCGCAACCAGGATACTCCCACAGAGCACGTTCTCATTTTGGTCAATTTCCTCAATAAATCCATTTAATTTAACAATCCCCAAGCTGCCGAGAACTGCGTTGGGAATTTGGGCTAGGATTTTCAGAAAAAAGTCCCACTGAATGGAAGGCAAGGTTCTTTGGGTAGATGTGATATCTATCCTCCAAACTTTCAGGACCATCCCTGAGTACTCAGTTGGTCTCATAAAAGATATCACATCTACCCAAAGAACCTTGCCTGCCCGTGTCCTTAGACCAACACGGCTACAACCAAAAACCCACTGAAGGGAAGAATTTCAATGGGATTTAAGCATCCAGCTCACTTAAATCCCCTTGCAGAATCCCAACTTCTGCTTGTGGGTGTTTTTAGTGGCTAACTGTTTTGCCCTGTGGAGAATCCAAAAGAGTATTGAGGTTTGTGTGTTAACGTTTTTTAATCCAGGGATGATTAGAAAATGTAAATACCAGTACATTTTCAGATGAAGCCAGAGTGCACATCTGAAGTACTGTATGAATTCACTTAATGGATGATCCTGAAAGTTTAGAGGCTTACAGCTTTTTGAAAGACAAGTCATTACAAGCAATTCAGGAATTTACAAGTTGTCCTTTTCCTGTCCTTTGCAGCAGAATATTAGCATCAATCTTCATTCATTGCTACCAGTAATGGTAAGAGAAAGAGCAAGGGAGAAGGAAAAACAGATGTACTAGAGTAAGAGATCCCTGCCAACATGCATGCTAGAGCCAAGGAACAGTTGACAGAGTAGTCGCACACTGAAAAATATAATCAAAAGAACAAGGACCACTTTTTTGTGTGTACAGTCTAATTAGTTTAATGGAGAGTGTTCAGGTGACTGAAGACAGATCCAAAAACTGGTAAAGAAATTGCACTTTTACACCCAGGTCTTCACCTTCTAGCCAAGTATATTCCTTTTACTATTTGAGTCCCTATACAGGTGTTACTTTTCCATGTAGTCTTGTTGCGAACAAGTGAATCCAAACTAAGATTACCCCTTTATCCATTATCTTTAACATTACTGGTTAGAGACAGGAGTTTGGTGAAAACTTTGCTTTTTATTTACTCTTCAAAGGCAGGTAGCAGACAGGAGACTGGAAAATGGAAGCAGGGTTTGGATTGTTACTCTTTGGACTTCACGGAAAACTACTCGGCCTTTCCTTCCGCAGCAGGGGCACAGCTTAGTGCTGCTCCGCCTTTCGTGGCTAGGCTTGGATTCAGGAGGGAAATGAAGAGCTGAGCCCTTTGGCTGTTTGTGTTGCCTACAAAATACTTATGCAAGGGAGCCAGTTGGAAACAGTTCTCAAAGCAGAATTTCCCCCAGACATTTCTGTGCCTCTCCTAGAGGGGGTGTGTGACACCTTCTCAGTAGGTGCATCCACATGTGTAATAAATGTGACACAATAAACTGGAGCGGTTTGACCTGGAGTCAGCTGCTCCCGGGCACAGCATCTACATGTGTGCCCACAAGAGCAGCAGTTTGAGCCAGGGCGGAGCAGCACTAGGTTCAGGGGGGTCGGCCCTGACCCAGGGGGTGGCAGCAGGTGGCAGAAGGACTGGCTGGGGCACAAAAGTGCATGCAGCAGGCAGCTCCCACACTTAAGCACTCTGGGCATTTATACACATACGTTTGTCTGTTCTGATACAGTGGTGATTCAGCGTGTTAGAGCAGACTCAGTTGATCGAGTCTGCTCCGCATGCAAGCTGGCGCACCCAGCACTACGTCTCGTGCATTTGTACAAATGGGAAATGTGCGTTAGTGCTGAGAAAATGGTGGTGATGCGCTTTTGAACTGAAACACCTTTGCCATAAAAATGCCCGGCACTGCAGCACAAGCATATGTGCAAATGCCTCCTTGTGCCCCAGCCGCTCCAGTCACTGCCTACACGTGTGTTTTGTCACACTTGATTACTCCACTGTCCCAACAGTACTATCCACTGTAAAACATCACTGTCCCAACAGCCCTATCTTATGGTGGTTAATTAGTTTACTGCACCCTAATACCAGTGCACGTGTAGACAGTGATGCTTTATTGTGTAGCCAATTAGTCAACT